CCAGCAACCAGCACCACCAACCACACTAGCACCGCAAACATCAACAACAACAACCACCCTCTGCACCAGCACCAGCAACCAGCACCAGCACCAACCACACTAGCACCGCAAACATCAACAACAACAACAACCACCCTCTGCACCAGCACCAGCAACCAGCACCAGCACCAGCACCAGCACCAGCACCAGCACCAGCACCAGCACCAGCACCAGCACCAGCAACCAACACCACCATACACACTAGCCCCGCAACCATCAACAACAACCACCACCACCGGCACCAACCAACAGCTTCACAACCAACACAACAACAACAACACCAACAACAACAACTACACCAGCTAGCACCAATACCACGACCAGGACAAGTAGCAGCAGCACCAATACCACCACCAGTAGCAGCAGCACCAAACGTAGTTACCATCATAATCATCATCACGGTATCATCAAATCATCTGTTACTCAGCAGACCAGCTTTCTCAAACAGACTTTGTTATGTTCACCTTCATGCCTTTCAACACAAACCTGAGAACCTATCCCGCCTTAAATTTCCAAATGACGGATCATATGTGTCAGTCTATTAATTAACGCTGGATAATGTTTTCCACACTTATCCTTCAACAAGAAAGGTAGCCGAGAACTATACATACATTGTTAGTCAATTATTTACACTAAGAACTGGATGCTCCTGAATGGCGATATATATGGTAAAAAGACGCCGTGTGTGCCCCTAACAGGGATCACAGGAATATCATAGATGATCTGTGAATACTAAATCATTGACATACTGACAGCTGATAAATATCCTTTCCATCCAATTAACTGCCTGAATTGCAACAAAACATTGCACCTTTTCAGTATCGTCTATTGCAGACATTACATTAAGATTCCTTGACATTTCCTAACCTCCATATGTGCTATAACGGCAGTAATGGCGGTGGCTGATTTGTTTGTAATTGAAAAAACAATGAAAGTGAAAGAAAATAGGAATGACTGTGATTTTTGTGCAAATTGTAACAAAACAAACCGGCATGCTAATTGGCCATTAGCGAGTCGCAGGATGCAGTCACGGTCCATGAGAACTTGTTTGCTAGACGTCTAGACATCGAAGATGATTGAAAGAGTTGTACCGAGCACCTTAAGACCAATCATATACGGATTTGACGGATGTAATCGCTGATAGAATAGACCAAGTGCTCCATATCGCAAAGATGAAACGAGGCAGAAAAATCAGCATAAAGAAATACCCAATAAAAAGTGAAAATATCCCATAAAGCACTCGCCATCCAAAGAGTTTGTTTTTACCTCTCCAGTAGACTATTTACATGGCCGACGGTTGGCGTTACCACCCAGAAGTTGTAAGGTGCACAAATGCAATGACGTCATCAATTGATGTGCGCTATTCTGGAGCTCTCCCACGGAGTGAGATAGTTTCGTAAGGCATGTCGAAAACTTACATCTGCGCATGTGCGCCACTCCGCTGGGGGTCAGTTTTACGTTATACGCTGACACAGAGCAAACATTTCAACTTTCCTGTCTTGTTTGAATCTCTGTGAGGAGGATGCGGGTAGTCGGATTAGGAGGGGCATGGAGATCTATCAGGCAGATGTTACTTTCACGTAATCACCAACTTGCCGATTTCACCTGCTAAACTCGCCAGTGATTTCAATCAGCGCAACACGTGGGATGAAGCCTCGGAGACGCGCTACATGCACTCAAATATTATCCTAATGGCAAAGGTCCATGAGATGGCACCAAGGGCAATCTTCCACAGTTTTAGTAGATTATTATGTTTTGGCAAAATATAGACATACATTAGGAATATTACAACACAAGGTCGCTCTTACAGGTCTGTGTTGAACGTTCAACACCATTTATGTTTTCTACCAAAATGATATACCTTTTACAAATACAAATGGGGTAGCCCGGTGGTTAAAGCGTTCGCTCGTCACACCAAAGACCCGGGTTTGATTCCCTACATGGGTACAATGTGTGAAGCCCATTTCTGGTGTCCCCCGCCCTGATATTGCTGGAATATTGATAAAAGCGGCGTAAAACCAAACTCACTCTCTCGCTCAATATGTACTTGTACAAAAACCCTATTTATTGTTGCTTAGTATGAAATGTATCTGTGTCTGTTTAGCAAGCACTGGTATATGCATGTCAAGTAATATTTCATATCGCCGCGATCAGTAACTATTTTTGTGCTACCTAAATAGGAACTACTTACGTGAACTTGGAAAGAATTAAATTTTCAGTAGTTGTGTGAAATGTGAAAAATGTTAATGCGGGTGCTTAGTAAGATCGATAGCAGGTGTATTTTCTTAGTCCTGAATATGTGTGTGTTCTGTAGAACTGTACGGGTACATATTTACCAAAATCTTTACACAATTAATTTCTCGTCGACTACCTACGTTTACCAACATAAACAATCGATTTACTGATATTTTTGATTTCGTAAATAACTGAACACAGTATTGGAGTGTTTAATTATCGTTCCGTTACCTCATTAGATCGGAGATTGATAAAACATTACATCAAACACTGCGACTTGCTATCGAGACCTCCATCCAGGTTGTTCTTAATAATTCCAGCAGTTTGAAGCCCGGTAAGCAAATATTGCGCGATAATTACCCCACTGGATATACATACATCGTACGGTTTCGATTTTCCACCGCAGGTACAATTTGTCTCCGTCTCTGAAACGACGGCATGGGTCGATTACACCCTCAGATCCGACCGTACTTCAAACACGCCGACGGAACGGCAATTAATGGTCGGTATCCCTAGTCTTCTCGACAGCGCCCTTTTTTCAAAAAGCTTCCTTCATTTTGTGCAAGGTCGGTATTTCAAAATAAAAAACGTATCCGTAAGCCCCAAATGTTACACGTTTGTAAGGTATGTGTCTGAGTGCCTGCAAGCGTACACAGACTAAATACAAGCATACTATCTACAGCTAGATCAGTACGGAACGGTAAAGCTACTTGCCTTAACATTAACAGTCTAAAAACATTAGGTGTTCCGTACATATTCTGAGTGCAGGGATATGGCAGGGTTGACTTAGTGGAAGAGGATTGCCCGCTAGGCAAGCATGACAATACCGTTCCGTGTTCACAACACGTGAAGTACTGAGTGAGTACACTTTTACGCCGCTTTTAGCAATATTCCAGCAATATCACGGTAGGGGACACCAGAAATTGGCTTCACGTATTGTACTCGAGTCCATCGAGGGTGACGATCAAACGCTTTAACCACTGGGCTACCCCACCGCCAGACATATGAAGTAAAGTTACTGGGGGTGATGATGCTCATGTCATCTCTCTAACCATCTGTAAGTGCCTACCCGTGAAGGTCCGGGTTAGAATATTGATCTTCAGTAACCCATGCTTGTCGTAAGAGGCGAATAACGGGATCGGGTGGTCAGGCTCGCTGACTGGGTTGACACATGTCATCGGTTCCCAATTGCGCAGATCGATGTTCATGCTGTTGATCACTGGATTGTCTGGTCCAGACCCGATTATTTACAGACCGCCGCCATATAGCTGGAATGTTGCTGAGTGCGGCGTAAAACTCAACTCACTCACTCACTCTTTCAATGCCCGACGATCTCTACCTACATGATCATCGCTTAAATATGCCCGAAACAAACTCGAAAGAGGCATATTATAGAAAAGAGCAGAGATCTCCACTCCATGCTATTCTCCAAGGTAGAAATGAAATGGAAAGCATCCATATCTACTTTTCAAATACGTCTTATCCTGTGAAGACATTCATTCATTTTTCTGTAATTATTTGAAATGTTCGCGTTCTGTTTCAAATAAAATTTAGACTATCAATTCGATCTAACATATAGTTTTCAAAAACAGTACATTAATCTCCTAAATGTTTAGTCATATTTCAACTTGTGTTTTTAATAGAAATATACCCAGGGCCCAATTGACTTAAGTTTGGTGTAATTCTTTAAAAACGTGTTTGTATCTGATTAACTTACTCATGATATTTAATCAATGTCTCAGTTTCCACGTCACTAATTATAACGTTTATCATATAATGGATAATGCTTTCGATGTGATAATCCATCAGATAAATATGCAAATTAGGTCTCTCATCAGAAACTGCTTTCAACGTCCACACGTTGATTCAATATCTGGTTTCTTAATCAACAATTGACTAACATTTACAATAAGTTCAAACAGGTTTTCCTATGTGCGGATAATGGCAAGCATGGCAAGAAATAATTGGCACTATATCATCAATGAGGCGTCTCATTCAAACAATGTATTCATACGCGGTTTCTAGAAATTATTCAGTTTTGCGAAATTACGCCTTAAACATCGGTTGCTTTTAAAAGTAGTTATATCATCAAGACTTTATTATCCTGGAATGTTTCTCTATTGCCAATATCAAAATATATAAACTATTTATTGTGCCCGTTCAAGGCTCACATGTTTTATTCCTAATATATAATATATGTGGTACGGAAACACGAAAGTAAATATATCATAAGGATAAACTTTATGGCTGAACAACTTCTTTATCCAGGTGATGTGACTTTTTCACCTGAATAAAGAAGTTGTTCCTCCTAAAGTTTGTCCTTATCTTACTCTCCAACTTCTCCTTACTCTCCAACTTCTCCTTACTCTCCAACTTTTCCTTACTCTCCGACTTCTCCTTACTACTTCTCCTTACTACTTCTCCTTACTCTCCGACTTCTCCTTACTCTCCGACTTCTCCTTACTCTCCGACTTCTCCTTACTCTCCGACTTCTCCTTACTCTCCAACTTCTCCTTACTCTCCAACTTCTCCTTACTCTCCTACTTCTCCTTACTCTCCGACTTCTCCTTACTCTCCGACTTCTCCTTACTCTCCTTACTCTCCAACTTCTCCTTACTCTCCAACTTCTCCTTACTCTCCAAGTTCTCCTTACTACTTCTCATTACTCTCCAACTTCCAACTTCTCCTTACTCTCCAGCTTCTTCTTACTCTCCGACTTCTCCTTACTACTTCTCCTTACTCTCCAACTTCTCCTTACTCTCCAACTTCTTCTTACTCTCCGACTTCTCCTTACTCTCCAACTTCTCCTTACTCTCCGACTTCTCCTTACTCTCCAACTTCTCCTTACTCTCCGACTTCTCCTTACTCTCCGACTTCTCCTTACTACTTCTCCTTACTCTCCAACTTCTCCTTACTCTCCAACTTCTCCTTACTCTCCGACTTCTCCTTACTCTCCGACTTCTCCTTACTCTCCAACTTCTCCTTACTCTCCAACTTCTCCTTACTCTCCAGCTTCTCCTTACTCTCCGACTTCTCCTTACTACTTCTCTCCGACTTCAACTTCTCCTTACTCTCCAACTTCTTACTCTCCGACTTCTCCTTACTCCAACTTCCTTACTCTCCGACTTCTCCTTACTCTCCAACTTCTCCTTACTCCGACTTCTCCTTACTCTCCAACTTCTCCTTACTCTCCAACTTCTCCTTACTCTCCAACTTCTCCTTACTCTCAACTTCTCCTTACTCTCCAACTTCTCCTACTCTCCAAGAAGTTAATAAAGTCTGTTCAGAGAGTGTCTGGAAATGAGCGCCAGACGTTATTTCCCTTTGAGACACCCTTGTTAGAAGCTCAAACTAACTTTAATCTCTTATGCCTACCGTACAGTGAGGTTAGTCAAGTGGTACTCCCTGATGCCCAAATTCGTATAACAATGTTATCGTTACCACGAAGATATGACTGCAACTTTGGGCCCCCCAACCGCGTCAGGGTCCGTGTATCTGGTTCTAATCCGATCAAACTATAACAATCCCTGGTCTGGCAGCACCAGACCCTTGTTATTTGGTCCAACCAGAGTAATCACAGCCACTTTGTGGTTAGGGCGGTGGGGTAACCTTGTGGTTAAAGCGTTCGCTTGTCACGCCGAAGACCCGAGTTCGATTCCCCACATGGGTACAATGTGTGAAGCCCATTTCTGGTGTCCCCCGTCATGACATTGCTGGAATATTGCTAAAAGCGGTGTAAAACTAAACTCACTCACTCACTCACGTTGTGCTTAGTTCTAAACGACGCAAAGTTAAAGTCTGTCAAGGGCTTCTGTTAACACGTCGTGAAGGCGTTGATTGACGCCCATATAATGATATAATCACAAAGTGTAAGCAACATTTGTATTTAGACTTCAATGTAGCAATCCGCTTTATGATTTCCGGCTTTGAATGAAGATTATTGCTTTTCACATGGGAATCACTGGAACAATAATTGATTGGTATTCATCTAAGGCTGGTTAATGCATACATTACAGACGGGCGTTAGGGTAGTCTAGTGGTCAAAGCATTCGCTTGTAATGGCCGAAGATCCGGGATCGTATCATTACATGGGTACAATGTGTGAAGCCCATGTCTGGTGTCCCACGGTGAGATATTGCTGGATTATTGCTAAAAGCGGCGTAGAACTAAACTCATTCACTCAATCACTTTGTGGTTAGTTCTAAACCACACGACGTGTATGTCTGTCCAGTGCTTCTGTTAACACGTCGAGGATCCAATGCATGTATTTACTGACATATGAAGGCGTTGATTGACGCCCATATAATGATATAATCACAAAGAGTAAACAACATTTGCATTTAGACTTCAATGTAGCAATCCGCTTTATGATTTCCGGCTTTGAATGAAGATGATTGCTTTTCATATGGGAATCACTGGCACAATAATTGATTGGTATTGCGGCATTCATCTAAGGCTGGTTAATGTATACATTCATATTAAACTTAATTCCCGTTATCTCTGTGTTCCATTACAGGCGGGCGTTGGGATAGCCTAGTTGTCAAGCGTTCGCTCGTCACGCCGAAGAGTCGCGTTCGATTCCCTACATGGGTACAATGTGTGAAGCCCATTTCTGGTGTCCCCCGTCGTGATATTCCTGAAATGTTGCTAAAAGCGGCATAAAACTGAACTCGCTCATTTCATAACAGCCAGTATCCTGTATAGCAGTTGTTTAATTGATCTGTTGTACTGACAGTTTATCATTTACTCCTGTTAATGAAATAAAGCTAGAAGTGCGGAACTACTCCTTTTGATTCCTTAATGGGTATCCCATTTTGAGAAAAACCTTCAATACAAAATGTCTGGAAGTGTCTGGTTTCACATTCAACCGAAACCAGCGAGTTCATTTTTAAACACTGGAGGACCCCGTTCATCTAACAGGGGCTATTTGATCATACGGTCTAACTCCCAAAAGGATAACACTTTAAGATCATATCGGGATTGATAATACACGATCGCAGCGAAGGCATTATCAATCTATATCTGACTTCTAACTGCCAATGCTACATTAGTTTTTTATATTCCTGATAGTTGTGATTCAGGTCATTGTGACCTTCAGAAAAGCGACCATTCCATCGTGTCTGAGCCTGTGTAGGACCACATTCATACGTCGCTTTCCGTTCCTGCTTCTCCATCACAGCATCCCCAAGGAAATTATCAATGTCTGAAAGGCGAGCCCCTCGAGGAACAGAGAGTTGTCTATTTTTCAAGTCGTGTTAAGTTATGCTTGAAGTATTGTAATGCTTTCATCGCGGTACGACTGGTTTGGACCATGCAATATATCTCTCAAGCAGATGGTGATGAAATACTTCCTAAGTGTATTTTAGCGGTCTGTTTTTTGATGCACTAGAGACTCGTTCGTCACCATATTCGTCACAACTGAAGCCGTTTGTAAGTGAAAATATTAGATGCTTGAAGACACTAAGTGTGTTATTTTTTATTATAACAAGTAACAACAAACTTAGGTGATCAGTATCGCTTTTCAATTCAATAACATTCATTCATTGCTGTTTTGCAAGAACATCAACTAGCTTTGTACATACTTCATGTTTTTTATACGAAATGAACCGTTAAAATGACTTTGAAACTTACTAAAGATGTTTTATAATTCCGTTGGGTATCCACCAATGGCCTCTCATGCTCTGTAGACTTGAATTGACACAATCACGTTTTGAGTTTGAAAGGGCGTAAATCCAATGAACGTGTATGTCATGGTGCATGGGATTGTAGATGTTATCTGGATCAGCGTAAAACACATATTAGGACATGTTTACCCTTTTCGCGAACACCCGGTGTCAGCACTGTCCTACAGTGGTCCATTCATATGATTTCACACCTACTTTGCTATATGCACCAAATGGAATCTTTTTCTGAATAGTCAAAAATGGGTATTCTTTTGCATTGTTTTTATACATCATATGTGCTACCTGAAGCGAGCCAGGTAATATTCGTATCGTTAAGATATCAAATGGTTTGATCATTCATGTTTACAAATATCCCGTGTGTTAGAAGTACTGCCGCACACTCAGTGACAAATTATTTTATAAATATTTTTATAAATATTTTTTTCTGAAGATGATAAAAAACATGTTTTCAGGTTACACCCAGTGTGACAACTCAAAAGTGTATGATTTGATAGATGTTGGACATTCTTCACCTATGACCAGGAAGCAATTAATCATCATGACACTTTGTGTGCTTTGTATGGATTTTAATACACTTGATACTGTGTATCGAACACAGAACAAGAAATACAGCATTTTTACAGCCAGGATATAATGATCGTTATACTATCCATCACCTAGAAATATGTAATTATTGACAACCTATTTAACTCACATTCATTTCTCACTGCCTATATGGATACATGTGAATTCCACCTCTAATGTTTTGGCTATGATACTGCTGAATATTGCTAAAAGTGACATAAAACCGCACTCCCTCACTTACCCACAAAGCTTACCAAACCAGGCTATTGTCTAAGACCTATAAATGGTATAAGACTTTTCCATTTTCTGGACTTCAGTTTTGCTCGTAATATTAGACCCGTAAAGGTCCGGATTAGAATTGGTCTTCAATCGGGTGGTCAGACTTGCTGACTTGGTTGACACATGTCATCGTATCCCAACAGAGTAGATCGATGCCAATGATGTTGATCACAGATTGTCTGGTCCGATTGGATTATTTACAGACTGCCGCCTTAGTTAAAATATTGCCGAGTGCGGCGTTAAACAACAGACAAACAAATCGTATTATTGTTTCAAGCTAGCTTATAAGAAACTATACTGGATCCAACAATCTGTAATCTTGAAAACAGAGAAACAATATTTACAATAACTAGCTCAAAGTTATTCAAGGCGTGTATGTGCTAATCCCTGTGCTGTTAAAGACATACGTACTTGAACCCTTCACAGTCTATTCAATCCACACACAACACAGTTGTGACTCAGACATGGTTGCCATAAACACAATGCATATGAAGCTAACATCACTTTGTTAAATTAATATAGTCTTGCATATAAAAAGTGACAAAACTAAGGCAAATTGCAATACAGTATTGGACAATATTGCAGAGTGGAACAGTAATTGACTGGGTTTCAATAAATCAGTTTCAGAAACACTACAATACATACAATTCAGAGGAAATGGTTCTGTATATTAACATTTCATAATATTATTTCATAATCATAAGTGTCGTGTATTTACAAAGTTGTTTGCCACGCTTCGTTAATTCACAACAAAGTGAACATATGTTGGCAAGCGGCCCTCATCAGCTGTTGCCAACATATACACACCGTATGTATATGACTAAGCCGGAAGCCAAAAGGACATAGTAATATGTCACCGTCCTCAAACCTTTGAAACTGAATAAAACCTACATCGGGGATACATAGAAACGCTTATAGGTTTTGTATTCGGATGAAGATTCTCTCTCTGTCATTTTAGGCAAAGTTAAATGACTGTAAATGTTAATGCTAAATACCAGTTATGTTATATTCAGTAATGTTCAGCATTGTTAAACAAGGCATGTATGAGTTTCTTGTACGGTGGCCTAGTGGTTAACACATTGGACTTAAAATCCAAAGTGCTAGGATTCAAATCCAGCGTAATGGCAAAACCTTTTGTAAATTTAATCAGTAAATATATAGCCTCACTTTCATTATTGATGATCACATGACCTAACCCTTGCACAAAATCTTCATGCAAAGTCGGATTCACTGTGCTATCCACATGGTCACTTGGCTGTCTGCAAACCTCTCTGTATGGCAACACAAATTTTCTTAAACCTCATCGATGGACCGAGTCATGTCAATGATATTTAGCCAGTGACTTGTCAACGACTACCGAAAATCGTAACTTTAATAAATCCCTGTCGATGCGAGTTTTGGAGTTGTGTTCTTGCATCTACATTTGTTTAAGAAAATTTGGAGACAGTCAAGTGTTACGCATCATACTCATGGGTGGTCAGCAGCATTCAACGTTAAGCAGTGGCTGCTGATATCCTTGCAAGTTTTACACCACCGTGTAACGTGTGTAAAACGTCTGGAGCGCTCAAGGTTCAAGGGTGAGGCATGGTGTCACATGGCAACGTTGATGATGATAGTCACCTCTACAGTGAGGAATGGTCACGTCGTCATTCTTCTGAGGGGCAAACAACGTCCATGGTTGGTGATGTGAACACTGACAGTGGTGGCGTCGGTGATAGTGAGAATACCGTGAGAGTGTCGACAAATATTGGGATGCAGTTACGTCAAAACAGAACTGTTACAGAAAAAGGCAGAACTGAACATTTGAGAGTTTTGAGAAATAAGACTGTTTCTTCTTTATCAGCATGTACTAAGAGTAAAAATGAACTTGATCGTTTGAAAGAAAATATTGACAACTTGCATTTAGTGAAATATGGTCTTGACAACTTTAATGATTTGTTGATGTATTATAAATCATGTGTAGATTTGTATTGCAGTCAACTTGAGGAAGAAGATAGAGCTTTTTGGTGAGAGAGAGGTCGAATGAGAACGAATCATCATTCCTATGCTTCAGAGACTCGTTAGTAAGTTGGGTCCTATGTGCAGAAAGAGAAATGGCTAATGAGTTACATGATTCTGCGTCACAGAAAGGTTCAGTGAGTACTAAGTGATCTTTTAAGTCTAAATATTCACAACGTTCTGGTAAATCAAGTACAGTTAAATCTTCACATACTCATGAAAAAGTAAAACTTGCAGAGCTTCTTGCAGAGAAGTCCATGTTCCAAGCTCGTGCCCAGGCTGAGATGAAGCTGAAAGAAGTGGAGCTTGATACCAAGATTGCTAAGACAGCGGCGAAAGAGAAGATGTACTCTGAGGCAGATGGTGCAGGTCAAGGTCAAGGTATAGGTGATCCCACTGTCACATTAAGAACTGTCACGACTCCGTCGTCACAGTACAATCAGATCAGTCAACAGAAAATTAACCCTTCTGCAGCAGACGTTTTGCCAGTAAATCAATGCTCATTGAATCATACCTCTCAAAACCCAGGTGCTAGTATTGCTGTTGATAATCAGTCCCCATTGTTTAACCATGCTGTTCTAGAGACACAAAGACAGATGTCCCATGCTATGTTTCTTCCCAAACCGGAAGTTCACAGGAGACCCGACAGAGTTTTCAGCCTTACTAATGGCGTTCGACGCTAGGATTGCTCCACATACGTCAAGTGAGGCAGATAGACTTTACTACCTCGATCAACAACTTCAAGGTGAGCCAAAAGATCTTATATCTGGTTGTCTTCGTATGGATCCTTTAGCAGGGTATGCTGCCGCAAGAAACGTGCTTTGCAAAGAGTATGGTGATCCTTATAGAATCTCTACAGCTTATTTGAACAAGATTCGTACTTGGCCTAAGCTTAAGAATGAGGACAACGTAGGACTCGAGCAATTCTCTATTCTTCTGACAAAGTGTCTTCATGTAATGAAAGGTATTTCTCATATGACTGTGCTTAATAATGCACCAAACATGCAGTGTGTTGTTTTGAAGCTCCCGCGTTACGACTATGAAACTGAACAGGCAGGAGGAAGTGGAGTTCAAGCATCTCGTTGACTTCATTGACTTCGCTGCAAGATCTACAAACGAACCTATCTACTACAGTAAACAGGCACTGCTCTCCAAACATGATGATACAAGTCGTAAGGATAGGTTCTCTGATAAGTATAAACAGTCAAACAAGTCTCAATCGCCAAGTTTCGCTACTCATGTCGGAAGTGCATCACAAGGTAAAGGCAAAGGCATCTCTTGCTTCCACTGTAAACAGTCTCACGATCTTGACTGCAAGTTATTTTTACAAAAGACACTTTCTGAAAGACGGGAGTATTTGAAGGATAGTAACCGGTGTTACAGTTGCTATGGACTTAACCACATTTCAAAGGGTTGCATGAAAAAGAGAACTTGTAAACACTGTGTCAAACGTCATCCTACTGCTTTACATGATTACAATTTTCAATCAAGACAGGGGCAACCGGACTATGTTTCCAAAGAGAAGTCATCCACTGGCGAGTCTAATGTCATCACTGGAGCTACGTTCTGTGACAATCAACGATCCAAGGTTAAAGTGCTACAACCTATACTTCCTGTTAACTTCCGACAAAATGGAGTTGATCGGGTTG